CTCTCTCATAGCTTCCAGTTTCAGCTTCTCTGGCCTTAGATGCTGAACAGACTTTCTGAGTTCTGCTCAGAAATTTCCTGTAGCAGGCATTTATAGCCTGTAATTTCCTGGCATGCCAATATTTATGTCAATTTGACTGTAGAGGATTGAAGGTAAATTCCATCCTAGAAGATAAGGTTTCACTCAGAGAACACTGTTTATTCACAAAGGATAAAAAACAAAAAAGACCACACCTCTAACACAATTCTAACCACTGTCAAACAACTCAGTCTCCATCTTTGCCAGCTTCACCTCCTCCTTCAGGACTCCAGCTAATTCTCTCAAAAGACCCCCAAAATTCTTCCCACATTATTCTCCATTATTAACTTTCTTGTAAATTGATTATTATGGAGCCCATAAGGCTGGCTTCGTCTTTCAAGGATCAGCTGCTCGCCACTACCCCACTACTTGCCTTGTGCCATATCCCTTGCCTTCCCTCTTTCAATCTTCCCAGTTATATGTTCAGTCCAATCATCTGCTAGAAGCACATTTCTTCCTGTCAATAACTGCCTTAGAACTGGAATTCCAAATTTTCACATTTCATACAGTTAAAAGAAAAATTCTCCCACGTTCTTTTAGGAGAATGGAGCAACTGATCTTGAAGCTTTTTCCACATTCCATGCATTTATGGGGTTTCTTCTTGAGAGGATTATGTTAAAGCTAAGGGAACAGCTCAGCCTGAAACTCTTTCCACATACCAGGTATTGGTAGTTTTTCCTCTATATGGACTCTTCTATAAAAAATAAGTTGTCTGTGATAAGTATTTTGTTTTCATTATCCATTCATTGATACAGTTTTTGCCCTATGTGGAGTATTATATGGTAATAAACAGATTTATTCTCTGAAGCTATTGCCACCCTTCATGCATTTCCTGTACAGGACATCAGGATTTCAGTGTCTTACATGAATACATTAATACAGAAAGATAATAAAAACAGAGATTGTAAAGGAAAATTAAAAAATTCTATTCATTCTGTAACTTCCTCCCTATTTACCCAACAATATAGTAAACATCCTGTCACTTTCCTGCCTCTTATTCAGCTCTCACTAAAAGTTTATATTTTGGAGGAATTACATTTCATTTTTTAAAAAGAAAAATCTTCCTTTTTTATGAGCCTATAGTCCCTATTCAGGGTAGAATCAGGGCAACTGGATGGAGCTGTGTATTTACTGGCTGGATGCCCTTCCTAATGCCTATGTGGAGTTCACAGCAGATACATTTACTTTATGCTCTAGAAAAGAAACATCTGCTGCTACCCAGGATTGAACTCTCAACTTTCTGAGTGAGAGGCAAGTGTCTTCACCACTAGACACCACAACACTCAGAATGAAATTTCACTTCAGGCACAAGGAATTCTAAACTCACTCCAATTTAGGATTTTTTATAGAAAATCAAACAGGACCCTACTCTTAACTCTAGACACATTTCAAGGGTATTGATTTCTCCCTTTGTGTTACAGGATAGGCAGCACCAGAGTTAAGTGTGATTAATCAAGAGTGGCATCAAACTCCATAGCTCTGTTTAAATCTTCAAAGAATTTATTTCCTAATTTTATCGGGAGTACTTGGAATAGGAATAAGATTTTCAGTGAAATATTCATTTTAATTGTGGCTATTCTTTCAAATGTTTTATAGATGGCACATTCCACCAACAAGATTAGCATAAATGTTTCCAAACAGATCTTCAGAATGTTGGGAATGCAAACAGATACAGGGAATATATTACCATATGTGGTGGACCTGTCCATTGGCAAAAAAAATATTGTACAAGGAAAAAAAAGTGGCTAGAGGAAATGGTAAAAACAAACAGATTTAAAGCCAGAACTATTTCTATTAGGCATATTAACAGGGAAATATAATTTAAAAAGCCAAAATTTAATACTACATGGAATAACAGCGGCTAGAATAGTATATGCTCAAAATTGGAAAAATGGCTTTATATTTCAATGTTTTATCTCTTGCCATCTGTAATATCTGTGTCCTAATTGTTTTCTTAGTAAATCTTATGTGGACTTCTCTTGGGAGCTTATTTTTCATTGCATATCTTGTAAAGACTCGAAACACCATCCATCATCTTCTCTTTGGTTATCTCCAAGGCACCTGCAAGAATTTCTATCATTATCTCTGCCAAATTCTCTTCCTTTTCTTCTTCTATGTTTTGAAATCTGAGGTAGAATTCCTATCTGTCGATCTCCCAACCTAATATACCACTTTTCTCTTTTTTGACCACACTTAATCAATTATCTTTCATAAAATACTTTTTTTTATTTTCCATTTTCATAACATATCATCACATGTATACTATTACATAGCCAATATCATATTGTATTAATTAACAATTACATCAGTTCAACTTGCCATCAACTGGAAAAAAAACCTAAAAAAGATAAAAACCAATTATTGGCTCTTCTGCTCTCCATACACCACTTTCTTCTGCCTCTCTCCTCCCTCTCCTTACCTCCTTTCTTCCCTCCATCATCCTTTTCTACTCTACTTCCCCTTCCTTTCTCCTTCTCATCTCTCCTCTTTCCACTCCTTCTTATTCTCCCCATCTTCCCCACTTGCACTCTCTACTATCCCTCTCTTCCTATCTTTCTTCTCTTCTCTGCTTCCCACTCTTCCTCTCATTCACTTGGTGTATTTCAGCTTCTGAGCAAACTCAATTCTTTGTTGATGGTATTTATACTTCCATATTTAACATATCTTAGTTTTAAAGAAAAAATAAGAGAAGACAGTATACATGTGCAATCATATTACATTAAAATCTAACACCCCTCGTCAAGCCTAATATACTTCCCTCCCTCCCACCCAACCCCTCCCCAACTTTCCCT